ATTTATTTCATCTCACAAAATGTAATTCGATAAAACTTTTATGTAAATCTAGTTTTTTTATTTAAAGTAATTGTAGTGTTTTAAAAATCTTTATTAACATAGAAAGGCTCTTAATTCATGAATTAGGTGTAACAAATTGTAGTCTCAATGAAAACGAACAATTTGTTCAATGTCTTTGTTTTTCTTGCTATTTTAGTTAGCACACGAATTTAAATGGTACTCCTCGTTTCAAGTTCATTGCATTATAACCATTAAATTAAGGCTGAACGACATGCATCCACCCATAATTTGCTATAAAGATAATGTGGTATCCAAAAAATTCGAAAACGTCAATTACCTATTTACCGTCCAAATCTGTTAGTAAAGTTAGTTTAAAAAAGGATAATATGGTAATTTTATATCCAACAAAAAAACATAACATTCTGCCCAATTTCTCTCTTTAATATTAATCTTATAAAAATCTTTCTTCTCAATTTTAATTATTTTATTTTTATAATTGATTTTAATTAGAATCTTGCCTTCATCTTCTTCATCTCTCGCCATAAACATAGGACAACCAACAGCAAAAACGACCAAAGCCCTAGAAAAACCTCACTCAAATCACCAAAAGATTCAATGCAAAAAATCCCAAAGAATCACTCTCAAACACTCAAAAGAACCAAAACACAAAAGGTTTGGGGCAAAACCTCAAACAAGTGGTGTGCCAAAACTTGGAAAATCAATCATCAATGCCAAAACCGATCACAAATCCCCAAAAATCAAACAAAAACAAAAACAAAAAAACCACTCCCAATTAATCTCCAACCATCAATTTCCCATCAAAAACTCCGAAAAATACCAACCAATCCCAATTCAACAAACAACAAAAACCCTAGGAATTCAATGGGCAGTGAAATGTGAGCAAATGACGACAGGGAAAATGGGGGTTTTGGAGAGGGCACACCGAAAAGACGATTGGCTGGGAGAAGAAAGGTTTTCTGTGACGGGGCTTCCGGAAAATGGGTGGGGAAGTGCAACAACTTTGCAAAAGACCCCCCTTTTTTGCCCTTTCATGAGAGAGATGAAGACGGGAAGAGAGAGAGGAGAGAGGCTTTCGATCTGGCCATATTCCGATGCCGGGTTCTTACCTAGTGACTGGAGGAAAAAGAGGGAGAAGGAAGGGAAGAAAGAGAAGGGAGATAATAAGAGAGAGAAAGGGGAGAAGAAGACGAAGGATAAGAGATTTGGGCAGAATTTTTTAATATTTTATTAATTCAATTTTTTTTAACCTTTTTTTGTAATGCACAAAGCCTAAAACACAAAAAGTCAAAATTACCCCCACAAAAATGATAAAATGTCGATAATACCATTTTAGTTAACAGATTTCCTAACAGATTTGGACGGAAAGTAGGTATTTGTCATTTCAAAACTTTTTGGGTACCAATTTGTCTTTAAAGTAAACTTTGGGTAGGTGTAAGTCGTTCCCCCTTAAATTAATTATAAAATATAATTGCCTCAAATTCTATATAAAATCAAGCTTTATTCAAATTATTTAAATAGTGTTAGGTGGAAGCATAAATCAAACTATGTTTTAAATGACATAGCTATATAAAAGATTAGAATCCCTACATATAAAAATAGCACTCCCAAATGGTACAAATATGTATAAACAATTTTTAATATATGTAGTAATTTTTTATTTTTTTTCAAGAAAGTAATTAATTAAAATGATTGAAACATCCAAACTCACTAGATGTTTTTTTTGTTAGTATAATAGAAAAGTATTTCATTGTTCATGATCGAGGATACTCGGAATAACTTACATACACCTTAATTAATGCTTTGATATTTTAAAACTACTGGTCAAATAAGAGTTTTAGTGACTATTTCTATTAATAATCGAGAAGAGACTCGAACTCGGAATTAATCTCTAGAGATTCTAAAACTATCAGGTGGATAAGAGTTTTAGCGGCTATCCATATTAACAACCGAAAAGGGATTATACTTGTAAACAAACTAAATAATTTTTTGGTAGTACCATTTAACTTATTTTTAATTTTTTTCTCATATAAGATTTTTTTTTGCTTATTGTATTTTAAAAAATTGTAAAATATATTTGAAGATACATATATAGAAAGTGTTAATAATTATAAAGAAAAGGATTTACTTAAAATTACTTGCCATTAGCGACTAGCAGCATATATTATTGGGTAATGTTATCCTTATTCACTTTTGTAAATAGATAATATAATGCGGGTACCATAAATCATTTTAACAAAAACGGGTACGAGAAAATTGGGTTAGTAAATAAGACTAACATTTTTCTATATTAGTTAAGGGTGGACGCAACAATCAACATCAAGGGTACGGTCAAATAACAAAACAACACGTTTCCTTAATCTAATCCTGCAAGTTGACCCAAATTGAACTCCAACGTGCCACCACCACCAACTACAACAACAAAACAACAAACTAAAACGCTTGGTAGTAACAGAAAAATCCAGTTATTATCCGTTGTGCTTTAATTATTAATTTATTATTAAACTAATATTTAAAAGGAAACTCTACCGAAACCGCAGCGCCAAGGAGAGCGTCTCTATTATCACAACTCGCTTTCGTTAACTGAATCTCTCCACTCGCGACAGTGTGTTGAATAAACTGTCAATTACCGTTAACGGAGCTAAATTATGTTAATTAATAATATACCTTTCCTTAACAGTACATAATTACAAATTATATATATTTCGATGCCCATAATCCATATAATGATTCATATAATTAAATATTTTTTATATTCATTACATTGGGCATATATTCAATATATTTTATGATATTGATATTATGCTAAATAATTTGACATATATAAAATTGATTCAATTCAGGTGATAATTGATTTGATAAGTAAATTCATTCATTCTACTGTCTCATGATTAAATAGATGTTAAAGTATTTGTCTCACAGTTATATATATATAACAGTATTGTATTAAGGTAATAAATATTAAATATTAACAATGTTTAAGTATAAAAAGAGTTATAAAATACCAGTTGTAAACTATATGATTGAAGTAACATTTTTTTTTTTTAATGATCGAGTGTATTCGGACTAGCTTATGTATACCTCAACTAATCTCTTATAGGTAAAAGTTCTAATGATCACTCCTATTAGCAACCGATGAGGGACTTGAACTCAAGACCTTTTGAGTAATACATACAAGAGTCATTATCAAACTACTCGGCCACATAAGGGTCCTTGAAATTACAAATTCATGATTATTTTTTCCTTTTTTAGAAGAAGAACCTATTTCCTTATTTTCAAGTTTTTGCAAATTTCTTTCCATTTTAAGAGCTCTCATAATCAATCTTCTATTAACTAGAACTTGATTCTTGAAGCAATAACAAGTTAACAGCATTATTTGTTTTATATTAAAAGTGAAAATACAATAATACTATCCTTACAAAGAAATCTTACAAAGATTTTTATACAAAGTGAGGTGGCAAAAAATGAATATAAGAGTAAAACAAAAAGTCAAACTCATTATATTTACTCTTTCATTCATTTTTGACCATATCACTTTGTATGAAGATCTTTGTAAATGTAACATTACTCATAAAAATATATTTAAAAATGATCTCTAGCAACTTTTTTGTTGATGGAACTTGAGAGATACAGAATAATAAATTCATGATTATTATTTCCTTTTTTAGAAGAAGAACGTATTTCCTTATTTTCAAGTTTTTGCAGATTTCTTTCCTTTTCAATAGCTCTCTTGTAATCAATCTTCTATTAACTAAAATTTGATTATTGAAGCAATAAAAACGTTATTTGTTTTATATTAAAAGTGAAAATACATTAGAAATTTTAAAATTTTGAATGTAATATAAAAGACTTAAACCAATGCCTATATTTTTAAGATTTAATTCGTGTAACTTTTACTCCAAAAAAAAAAAATTATGATAAAATTATTAATTAATATCATATAGAATTGAGATAAGTTGGGATATAAATTTGTAATTTACAAAATTTTCTCAATTCAATTTCAAAGATGAACCCCACAGTCGTTACGCACACTCATTACGTAATTCCACTAACGACGTAACCGCGTAGCTAGCAGTGTCCGACTGGTCAGTGGAATTTAAAGACAGTTTTTGGCAGGTTTTGAAATTATAGGAAGTCGGTGACCGCCTCGTGTCGGTGACCTAAAGGCCGTTAGTATGTCATCCGCTTGACAGGTTTCCAGGCTGGACTGACAGCTTGTCAGTCATTCCGTTCTTTAGTTCCGCGACCATTGTTGTCGTTTTCTCCAACTCACTCAGCTTCTTCCTTTCTTGCACACAAAAGCAAAAATCTGTTTTTTTTTTTTTTTTTTAATAATTAAAAAAAAAGACATAAACCAAATCAAATTCCCTTACGTAATGCTCTCCAGCCTGGCTCAGTCAAAACTCTATCCACTTCTCACCAACTCTCGAATTATCGTGTTTCTCTATATTCTTTTCAAATAACTTCTATAATTTGTACTCAGATAAAGAGAGAAAACCAATTTAGGTGTATTTTTTAAAGGTTTTAAATTTGATTTTTTTTTATTATTACGAATATTTTATTTGATTAATAGATTTAAAGTCTTAAAAAATTAGTTGAGATGTACGTAAAAATTGATCGACACTCTCAATCATTAAAAAAAAAAAATTTAATTTTCTTTTTAACATTTTACTTAATAAAATTATAAAAACATTTCGTACAAATATTCACCGTTACCTTGCTTAAAAAATATTGTTAACCAGTCAAAAGGTAAAACTCAAGACTTTCTCTCAAAATATTCAGAATTTACGCGGAAAATACCAGCATCCTCCGAAATTAAAGCTGCTGACGTGGCAATAACTGGACGTTATAACAGCTGTAAAATATTAAACCGGTCACCTAGTAGTACCGGTCGTTCCAAGTAAATATTGCTTATAACCTGTATCGGTTAACCGGCTCAATCAGTTACCCTAAACCCCTTCCTTTATAAACCAAACCATAAACTCAAAACTCCCCGTCTGTCTCTCACAACAGTCTCTCTCTCCCTCCCTCTACCAATCTCAACCGCCTCTGTAAAATTTTGATCTTCAAGATTTTAGTTAGGGTTCTTTTTGTTAAAAATTTCAAATTATGGATCGGGTTTCATCCACTGATAAGATCAAGGGGCCATGGAGTCCTGAAGAGGACCAGCTGTTGCACCAACTCGTGCAACGTTACGGCGCCAGGAACTGGTCGCTTATATCCAAATCGATTCCGGGTCGGTCCGGGAAATCTTGCCGGCTAAGGTGGTGCAACCAGCTGTCTCCCGAGGTCCAGCACCGCTCCTTCACGTCCGACGAAGACGAGATAATCATTCAAGCGCATGCCAAGTACGGCAACAAGTGGGCTACCATAGCGAGACTCTTGAACGGCCGTACGGATAACGCGATAAAGAATCACTGGAACTCGACGTTGAAACGGAAGTACGCGGCGATGACGACGGAAGATGAAAACGACGATACCAAAGAAAGAGAAAGAGAAAGTTTTCATCAAGAGAAGAAAAGATCGGCAGCTGGTTCGTTTTCTGGTATTTCTTCTAGTCCTTCTGGATCCGACGTGAGCGATTCGGGTCTACCCGCGATGTCTGGTTCGGATATATGTGGGGCTGTAGGGAGGTTTGTTGGAAACGATGGAAACGGTAATGGTAATGGTAATGGTAATGGTAATGGTGATGATGTGTTGTTTGATGTATCGACTGAACTTACTTTGAATTTGCCCGGTATTATGTCGAACGAGTTGAGGAAGAACGATTTGAGTCGGTGTTGGGTACCGGGGAAGGAGGTTTCTCAGAAGGAGAGTAGTATTGATTATAATAATAAAACGACGGTGTTTGGACCGGAATTGATGGCTATGATGCAAGAAATGATAAGGGAGGAAGTGAGGAATTATATGGAAGAGGCTGTCACTAATACTGGGATTAAGCGTTTATGATTAAGCGATGGATTAAGGAAAACTTGGGTAATTAGGACGTTGATGAGTTAGATATTATAAAGAATAAAAAGAAAGTAAATTATCGGCCTGTAAAAAAAAAAAAAAAAAAATTGAAGAGATAGAGAGCTGAAGAAGGTAGTGTATTTGAAATTTTAGGAGTTTTATAAATCGAAAGAAAACTTACAAGTTTTCTGTTTTACACGGTTGTAGTTTGTTTTCTTTTCTTCCTTATTAGTTTTGACTGATGGAACTCGTTTCTTTAAGTTTGAGAAAAGAAATCATAAAGCGTTTGGTATTTTTAACTTGGTTCTTTTTTTTTTTTTTTTTGACTTTATATAAGCTTAATATATGATTTTATATAAGGAAGGTGAAGGAAAAAGTGTTGTCATTATTTAATTGATTTTCTATATTAAGAATGGAGTAGATATATTTAACACTCGATGTTGACGCAAAAATACACTAACTAGAGTGATCCAATTGACTTTGATGGAATCGGAATTGATGTATGTGTGATTACGGGTAACCAACAATGTATAAACAGAAAATACAATAAAGTAAATGGAACAAAGACTTTTTAAAGTGGTTTAGCGAGTTAAACTCTTGAGCTTACGTCCACTATTTTTGTATTCGTTGTGAGAGATTACAATAATGGTCTTAGAATAATTTGTTAACGCCTTTTCTCGTTGGAGAGGGTTTGTATATAGATTTTGTACAAAGGAAAGGGCAAAAATAAATGGATTACAATTAAGATTGAAATGCAACTCCGATATTCTCATGATTGAGTGTTGAGATTGTGCCAAGATTGCTGTCGATCTAATTTATTCCGAGATATTCGGGATCTGAAGTTATCTGTGAGTTGGTTGAACAATTGTTGGGCTTGGTTGCGACTAGTTTGTGCTAGGTTGACTACAACTCGACGAGCTTATGCTGGGTTGGACAACCGATTGAGTCGAACTGATTTTGGATCGAGCTATAAACTCGCAATTCTCCAAGCTTGATGGAAAAATCACACACAACATCTGCCCCTTAGTGTTCGGTGCTCGTTTCAAGCTTCGAAGACTATTGCTCGATTTGATATCAAGTTCGGACTTCATCGGTTGTGCGTCGAATGTAGATCCGATTGAGCTTCATGAGTCGGACTCATCCCGATCGACGTACTCTACACTTGGCTTTTCCTCTGCTATGATATTCTTGACAGAGTCGGAATTTGAAATGAAGGGCATATGTGTAACTTCTATGCAGTCATGTCGCATTAAATGCAACAGCCTTTGTGGTCAAGGAAAAGGAGTTCCTTGATAAAATCAAGGCGAGCGAGACCACTCGGGCAAAGGCTAAAGTGAAGGTAGTCGAGGCTAAGAAGAGTTTGGCATAATAGCGAGGTGTCAACAATAAGCTGAATTCTTAGCTTACCTCGACTCAGAAAGTTGCCTCGAATTGGGAGGCTAGGTCTCGCTTAAGCTCACCAAGGAGATGGAAGGTCGCCAAAGGGCCGAGGCTGAGATTGAACAGCTCAGGCTCGACGTCGGGGAGCTGAACTCGGCCATCACAAGTCGTGCTTGGGAAATGTCGGTTCTAGTGTAGAAATTGTGGGATGCTCATCCTTCACTCTACTTTTCCTTCATTTCGAGGGCTTACCAGAAGGAGGTCGACAAGATGAAGACCGAGACCCAAGGCATGGCATACGTTTACTTTGATGACTCTGAGCCCGACGGTGAAGGTGAGGAGGAAGTTGAGGAGGCAGAGAAGGATGTTTGTGTTAAACAGGAGGTGAGGATCCGCTCTTCTGGCTACACTCTCGCCTATTGATGCCGGTCTTCCTCTGGTCAGACTCCGAAGGACGTTCTGACCCTAGTTATAATACTTGAATAAATGCTTTTTGACGTATGTTATAGAAACTGCTAAATTATACGCGTATAATATGAATACCCATATAATTCGCGAATTATTTCAAAAAAAAAAAAAAAAAAAAAAAAAAAAGAAAACCCATTGTTCACCCCAAAACGACGCCGTTTTAGTGGGGTTTAATTCAAAATTAAACAGAATCTCTTCTCTTCTTCGGTTGTTCTTCTTCCTCGGTTCTTCGACGGATGACATTTTCAGCTTTTCTTCCTCAGTTCTTCGACATTTTCAGCTTTTCTGCCAGTACTTTCCTTTCCTCAGCTCGGACGGCGAACTAGTTGAGATTTTTAATGGGTTTGTGTTTGTGTTTGGGGGAGAAGAATGGCGAACTGGTTGAGATTTTTAATGGCTTTGTGTTTGTGTTAGGGGGAGAAGAATAAATTTGAGGAAGGGAAAGTATTGGTAGAAAGAATAGCCTGTAAAGTAGATGTCATTGTTGGAGCTCTGAAAGAAGCAGTTGGCCTTGTGGGTGCGACACTGAGAGATGATTTGATTGAAGAAGAGAGAATGAGTAGGGTTTTTAAGTTGGGTCATGGGTGTTTTGTGTTTGTGGTGGTTTCAGTGTACGTGTCAACGCTAACACTGCAGATTACGTTTCTATTGCACAAACAAAAAAATAAATAAATACCTTTTCCACTGGGGGGTTAGAACAAGACATGGGCCTGGGAATTTGTTAAGGCAAAGAAAAGATTAACTTTACCATAGGCAAAGGCAAAAGCAAAAGATTTAATTTAAGTCAATGCAAAGATACATTAATAATTAATCCATAAAATTGTTAAAACTAAGGTTGATATTATCGTATTTTTCAAAATGTATTATTGACAATGTACCGTATTAAACCCGTATATACCCGTATCCGAATTTTATGGCCGAATTTTTATAAACGTATTTTTCACTGTTTGTCGTATTATACCTAAAAAATTCTCGTACTGTTTTTTTGCTGTACCCGTATTTACTAACCAGGGTCCTGACTCCTGCCCCTAAAGAGGTTGCCAAGACTCCTGTCGTCGACGATCCTTCTACCCCCATTAGCGATGAAGTTCCTAGTCCTGCTGGCGATGATGCCCCCACACCTCCAACTGCTTAGAGATTTTTTTTCTTCTTCTATTTTTTAGTTTAGTTTGTAACTAAACTTACGCAATCAATGAAAAATTTATTTTGCACATTCCCATCAAGCAATTTTTATTTCTGTAGAGTCATTTTGATCGTTCCAATCAGACTTAGCATAAAAAATTCGAATTTGCTCCAAGTTATGCGTAGCTTGCTTCTTGAGAAATGTTATTGATTTTCGCAAGTGTATGAAATCGTGCAAGTAATAAAGTGTAAAATTACGGATATCGAACCTAAGGGAATTACTGTTATCAATTACCAATTAAACTATCATATTACTATATCAAGGAAAATCTAAACTAAATTAACAATTGAATTTAAAAGGAGAACTGAACAGAGAACAATTAAAATAAACCTTTGGGTTAAAACAAGATGACTAGACCTAGGGCACAGACTTCACACCAACTCTTACTCATATGTATCGATCACTTATGCTAATTTTATTAAGTTCTTTCGATAGGTCAAACTCCCTAAATTTCCAATAAATTTCTCTCGAACAATTATCGAATTAACTCCTAATTACTAACCCGAATTATCTCTAATCAAATTTAAGCAATTGAAGATTATTACGCTTTATGGAGTTTACCAAAACCTCACAAGTAACGGTAACTATCTCTAGCGTTCGCTCAACCTATGGATTCACTACCGTAGACCAACTAAGTATCATCTCTCGATCTCAACCTAGTCCATTAGTTCATTCAATTCAAGAGCCCTTAAGAATCAAAAGCATTAGGTATAATGGTAAAACTTTAGAAATAATTCTTAATAAAAATTAACAAGCATAAATCAATACATAATCAAGAGATTGGGCTACATCTTAGCCTTAGAGAATAAATTTAGTTCATAATAAACATGAAAGAAACAATCATCTTTATTAAAACAATCATCATGAGTTTATAAGAAAGGAACAAGAAAAACTTCTCTATATTGTGAATCAAAGCTCTAGAACTTCTGTTTCTTTTCTTCTCTACAGGTTTTCCTTCTCTTATTCTCTCCAAAGAATCCCCAAAATAATGCTAAAAGACTTCTATTTATATCCCACAAGGGTTAGGGTTTTATTTTTCTTAATTTTATTTGGTTTAGGACTCTTAACCCTATTTTCCTACATAAAAACGGATGACAATTTCTTAACTGCTGTGACTGTGCCCTGGCACTGTGCTGTAGCATGGTAGCTACTGGAGAAAGTGTGTCGCGGCACTGTGCTGCGACACAGTAATACTCTTCTTCTTCCCGCATCATTCCATTGTTCTTTAGAGATGGTGATTTTTGAGCTTGATAACGATGAAATTTGGAGAAGTGGTAAACATATTAAATGTAGCCCTTTGAATTAGCTTTCCAACAGTAAAACAATCGTCTTAATCCGAGTTCTATAGCTGAAGATATTCTCAAAAGACTAAGGCATGCTCAAGCTAGAGCGTAATCTAGAATCTTCTCTTTACTTCAAACTTCCATAACTTCTTCAATTCAACTCCGATTCTTGATCTGTTTGTTTCCACTCGCCAGTCATTCCGTTGCCGACATGATTCTTCATCCGAGCATAAAATTTAAGCACTAGTGGCCTAGAAAACACTCAAAAACACCCGTGATCGCATAAAAGACAATTATGAAAATATTAAGCAACTTTACCAAATTAAGCCTAATTTCCCAAAAAAATCCCTATAGACCACTAACTAAATGTTTATTTTCAAGCTCTTATCAAGAAACTTTTCGAACATATAGGAAAATCTTGTGCGACAACTCTGAGTTTAGATTGATTGTCTGTCTCGAGCTTTGGTTGCCAGTTTATAATTGATTTTCCTTCGACGTGTTTTACTTGAGTTTTCCAAGTTTAACTTCGTCAATTCAGGGAATTTCTCTGTTCATTCGTTGAATTTGGCGTGGCTTAGAGAGCTAAATTGCCTTTTTTCGAATTCTTGACTCTGAGTTTTAGGTGTGATTGCGTAGGTCGTGATCTTGAAACGATAGATAATAAATTACACGCAAAATAACAATAAATGAGAAGTGACGAGCACAATAAAGTTCATGAATAATATACCTTTTTTTCATCGAAAGAAATATGGCCATAAATGACCTTATATTGAATGTAAGAGAAAAGACAAGAC